AGACCGACAGACAGACAGACAGACAGACAGACAGACAAAACTTTTCAACCCCACTGGAGTAACAGGCTTCGCTATCGCTCAGCCAACAAATGTGTGAATTTCGCCTTTGTTTAACCCTGACGAATTTAAACCAGGGTCTAGGGTCAAAAAAATAAATGTCGTTTTCGTCATCAGCACCCTCAAAAACATCAGAAACAATGCAACAAAAACTCGAATAAAAAGAATGTTCCGAAAATACCCCACTGGGATTTGAACCCGGGTCCGAACTTCTCCGATTCGTTCGAAAGTGGCACCATTGGTTTTTTCTCGTCGCACCGATTCCAAAAATACCCCTACATGCCCTGCTAGCTGCATCCGTTGCCGAGATCCTCCTCGCCCCCATGTAGACCATGATGCACCTGCAGCAGCGCCCCCGGGGCTCGGATCGGATTTGCTGCCACCGGGCGGTTCTTAGGGTCGCCCAAGGAGGCTGCATCCCAAATTTGGTCAAGATCGGACCACGGGAAGTCCTCGGACGAACGAACGAACGAACGAACGGACGCACAGCATGCATCATACTATATGCCCGTCCCTCCGTCATTTTTTTACAAAAAATAAACGGGACGGGCCAAAAATTATCGTCATCAAAAGAGGGGGGAAAACCCCCCTAAAAAAGGGTACAGGGACGAGACTGCCCCCTTAAAACAAGTGCCCGGGCTGCACCTAGATGTTGAGCCACGTCGCCCAGACTTTGCAGGGATAGAAAGGAACATATTCCGCACCCATCGCGAGTTAGCCGCATCCTGGGCGATGCCTGGTTTGGTCCCAGTACGGCCAAAAGTGCTATTTTTTACTATTAGACCCAAGTTTAGAGCCTCCATAGAGATGGAAGGTGACCTCACCAGATCCCGGCATTGTGGAATCTCTTTTCTAATGTGGTCAACTGCAAAGAAAACGATACGCCGTTTATTTCTGGGATTTTCAACCCACCCTACTAGATATAGTCCAATATAGGTCCTAAAAGAGTTCCTAGGCCTGATTTCTTGGTCTACATGTTGTGACTTAAATTTATTACATACATTAACATCAATAGACGCATGGGAATGTAGATAATTACCTACTGTCCCAATTTACCCCCGGTCATGGGTTAGCTTGGGACACTCTTACGAGACCGCTGGGAAACGATATAATCGAGGCAAATGAACCAGACAAGCATGAAATCATGGGGAAAGGGTCAAACTTTAACATAGTTAGGATCCGTTGGTCTGGATTGAGAATCTCGCCTCTGGCGTTCAAAACACGTGAAAAAGTGTCCCAAGTTACCCCCGTTGACGGTACGTCAAGAAGAGTCAAATAAGAAGGAGTCAAAGACAATGACCCTGCAAGTTCTACTGCGTGCGTACTTGGCGCACTTCTGTGCGGATGACCTACGAAGGACACTTCCTTGGGCATGTAATACACACTTGAATATAGTAAAAATAAACAGAGGAAGATACCTCTTTTAAACTGGGGGGGGGGGGGGGGAGTTGGGCTTTTCCAAATCCCCAAACGGGGTGCTTCGCTTCGCTCAGCAATAAAGACTGCTGCGCCCGCTCCGTAACCTGTGAAGTCGAATTCTGTGTTAGTTACGAAGATTGTTTTACAAACGATTTTCGCACCGTAATATGACTGCCTGGCCTCTCTCCGTACGGCAGTGAGTGTGCGACGTTGATTGTAATAATTTACTGAGGGGGTGGGGTGACATAAAAGGCTCCAATTTTGTTCTTAATTTATTAGCAATTGTTACATCGATTTCTTTCTGGAGTGGGTGACGTTGATTACTAAGTGGCCGTTGCCGTGATGATTGTCAGCAAAGCTTGACCGACCCTCAGTTGGCGCAGCGGCTGTGCTTTCACGCAGACCGAGGTCGACTGTCTACGTCGGAGCTTTCTGGGTAAGCTGTTAACAGAACCGAGGCGATACGAGAACACACGTAACTTCATTCGAGGATTATTTCTATTTTGACAAATTTTGTTATTTAGGTGTGCCTTTGTGGTCCGTTTCACATCCTAACGAGTTTCTATTCATCAAAACTATTTTAATATCGCTCAGCAAGTGATGTGACGACTCTACGCGGACCTCAAGGGCGCAAAAATAACAAAAACTGTCGTCAAAAAATAATTTTTCAAGTAATTTTACAATAGAGAAAAACCTTTCGGGCAAAAAAAAAATATTTAATGGCCGACGTTGCTACACCAAACGTTGCGACCTGAACAAGAGCTCAAGACCCCCTAAGCTTTCACAATCGGTCCAGAAAAGTTGCATAATCGACAAAATGTCAGTTAAGCGGGCAAAAGGTGGGAATAAAACGGCAGATTTTGGAAAAACATTATCACGTTTTCGTGACTTTTAATTCTTTATACCTAGGAAAACATTCCTTTTACTTCATTGGGTGAGCGATAGCGAAGCCTGTCACTTGGGTGGGGTTAAAAAGTTTTTCATGTTTGTCTGTCTGTGTGCGTGTGTGCCTGAGTACACTGCTCATCCTGAACGGCTCAGCCGATTCGGCTGATATTTTGCACCGTCATGAGGTATGTCCTTGGCTCGCCACACACCAAAATTTAGCTTTCCACCTCAATCCATGTGGTCATTAGAGCCAAAAAACACTTTAGGGGGTATTACTATGAGTTGCAAAAGAATCGAACCCGGCCGGCCGGGCCCGGCGCTACCCCGCGCCCAGACGTCTGCCAAAGACGGGTGGGCTTCTCGGCAGATGGACCGACGCAGGGCTGCGCTGTTGTCTAACTATAAACTGCACGTGCCGAGAGGGGGAGGGGAGGGGGCAGCATGCACCAGAGTGCAAAAGGCCTGGCCTGGGCCGCCTGGGCCCGGAGCTGGCTGGAGGCGACCGGATTTGGCCTAAAATATCGGTTAAAATTGGCGTAGAACAAAATTTCAACATATGGCTGGACCCGCAACTTTGCAAGGAAGCCATTTCCACCCGATTCAAAATCAAAAATTGAGTTTTTTGAAAAAAAATATTTTGGGTCGAGGGGCAATAAATCTGCGTGTCAGCACCCTCGCAGCGGTGCAGCTCGGAGTGAAAGAGGCCCTCGACACAATAGCCAGGAGGCGACTCGGCTGATTCTCGAATACAAATTTTCCAGGGCGTTTGGAATGTCGACCAATGTATTGGAAACTCAATTTCCAATCTGTGCATATAAAAATAAATTTTCTAGGATTATTTTCATGGAGTAAGAAAAAGTTAATTGAACACCTTATAATAAAATAATCAGCTCATCTTGAAACGCATTCTGGTAGCGTTCTCAAAATTAGTCATTTTTACACGAGAATGAACTTGTAAAAATCGCACTCGCGCCGACGCGCGCGGCCGGGTGAGCAGAGCTGCTCGGCTGCTCTGCGGCGCCCAGACCAGGGGTCGGGTCGAGGTGTCATTCACTCATAAAGCTATTGTGCACTTGCAGTTATAGTTTGGCAACAAGGCGGCCCGGCGACCGACCGTCTTCCTACCTGTCCGCGCGTCTTCAGCACCAGCCTGAGCGCGGGGTATCGCCGAGCCCGGCCGGCCGGGTCCGATTCTTTTGCAATTCATAGTACACTCGCAGAAGGTGAGGTACGTCAACACTGACTATGGGACCTTATTTTCCTTTCATTTCGGACCAAAATCACATGAATGGGGCGCAGTTGGAGGCAGCAATTACAACTTCCACGATTTTTTCCAAACCAGTGCAAAAATAACACGGTTTGCGTGATACAGACCGCAATTTTAATCCGATTTGGACGAGATTTCGCACAGACAATCTTGAGACCCGTCATTAAGGCGTGAAGTAGGACCACTGCGATCAATTTTGGTGTACTATATTTAAACTGAAGTTTTTTGGAAGAAAATGGGCTAGAAAAATGCTATTTTCAGAATTTGTCATTTTGCCGTGTTGTTTGAGGTACTAATAATTATTCCAAAATTTTTTCCCTAGTTCACGTCAGAATGACATGTATTTGGATGGTCCACACCAAATTTGGACCCTTCAGGTCCCACCGTTTGCTCTAAATCGCACAAACCTACGACCTGTGTATTTTATGCAGTGGTTAAGGGGGGTCATCTCTCCAAAAACAGTGCTTTTGTAAAAAAACGTCATTATAACCACACGGAAAGAGAAAAATTGTTCATATTTTAACAGATAAAGTATAAAACAACACTAAGTCAATCCACCATGGCAGTACAGCGCTTTCGTTGAAAACGCATTTTTGAGTGTTAGGTTAGACTATTTCACACTGTTGCGCTGGACGTCAAACGGTTTGACCTAGAACAACGAAATTTGGTGACAGCCTTCCTGAGATGTCTGGCTATGGTGGGTACCTCAATCACATTTTAAAAAATCATTTAAAGTTGTATTTGTTACATACCAAAAAAAATGGTTCAATTTTTCGGGTCAAAATTGTTTAATTTTGAACGTTAAAAGAATAATAAAAATTGACCAATGCTTATTATTTTGCTACCCACCACAGCGGCATGTCGTAGGAGCTTCCCCGTTTAAAAATGAAAACATCCGAAATCGTTCCGAAGATCGGAACGACTTCGGATGTTCCCCGATCGGGCGACCCCGAATCGCTTCCGAACGGGGCCTTCCGAATTTTACCCAAAAATGACCAAGATCCGCAAGTTTTTGGATGTACCCCGATGTCGCTCGGGGTCGCCCGAAATTACCCCGATGACGCTCGGGGTCGCCCGAAATCTTTCCGAAACGCGAGGGGGCGGGCGGGGGCGGCGGGGCCAAGCGGCATCCCCCCCTCCCTCCGCCCCCCTCCCCTCCCACCTTCCCCCTGCCCCCTCCCCTCCCACCTTCCCCCTGCCCCCTCCCCTCCCACCTTCCCCCTGCCCCCTCCCCTCCCACCTTCCCCCTGCCCCCTCCCCTCCCACCTTCCCCCGAATGAGAAAGGGATTGGATACTAAAATACTAAAATCAGCAGGCATGAATTGTATTAGACACTCATTTATTTAAGCTCGTTAATTTCCTGTGGGCTGGAGCAGGCATGAATGCATTAGAAATTCAATTCAGGTCGATAAGTTCCTCTGTGCTGTCTGGCCCACACTTGACTACGGTCTCAACCTGCAGGGGCTGCAGGGGCTGCAAGGGCTGCTGCAGGTGTTGCAGGCGCTGAAGGAGTTGCTGATGCTCCAGTGCCTGCTGGTGCTGCAGGGCGTGCTGGGGCTGCTGGGGCTGCAGGGACTGCAGGGGCTGCAGGGGCTGCAGGTGTTGGTATCCCTGGTGTTGGTATGCTGGTCCTGATTGATGTGAGGACCCAAGTTGATGATGGTCCTGCTGAGGCTGTTGCTGGTGGCACGAATACTGCTGGTCACATGGCTGCTCGTGGGACTGGAACTGCTGGTTGTACTGGTAAAGCTGGTTCGAGTACTGAGGGACTGAGTGCTGTTGCAGCCGCATTCCTCCCTCAACTATATGAGGACCCTGTAACACGTGAATATAATAACAAAAGGTTAATTTTGTTGAGGCAATGATAGCACAAAAAGAAAGAAGAGGAACAAGAAACAGTGTTAAACATATTGCCCAAACCTTAACAACTTAAATTATTTTTTCCTTTTGCGCAAAGTGTTTTAAATTACCATAGGAGAAAAATAAGTGGTCAAAATTTTCTTAACGCATATTCCAAACAATGTTGTACTATGCTTAAAGCATTGCTTTTTCTAACTAGAATACAACTTTGAACTACGCACTAGCCAATTTAAAAATATTTCTGTCATGCTTAAGCCAAGACTCACATCATAACTAAAGTATTGACAACGAACCTCTTGACATTCGGAATGTGTTATTAAGTTAAATTTGTCAAAGCGTTCACAGTGACATTTGAATCACATAGTGGCAATGTGCATTCATTTTGAGCAAGAAGAGAGAAGATAGCAAAATTTAAAAGGGATTCATTCTGAACAGCACAATGAGAAATTAAGTTGCATCATTTTTTCTACCTACACATACTGTAAGAACATTGCATTGAAGGCTTCTGATTTTTGCTAATCAGATGAGAATTCCATACCTCAGTATTCATACGTAGTTTCTTCCTTGCTCCAGCGATAGAAATTGCTAATGGTGAACCGGTGTCCTCTTGCTGATGGGTTTGCACCAAAGAAGAAATGTTCTCTCGTGGGGAGTGAAAAGGGAAACCTGTCAAGGAGCTATCCTCATAATGCTCAGTCTGAAACAAGAAGTAAAAAATATTAATGAAAAACCGACAGTTTAACATCTATAATGACAAATCAAAGGGGCACTTCTATACCTCAGAATTGTTTGCAACCCTTTTCCTTGGTAGAGCATGAGGAGGTGTAACAGCAGAAAAGCTGTCCTCATGATGCTTGGCCTGAAACAAGAAAAAGAAGTTGAGGGAAACTGTCAAAGAACTAACCAAAGGAAAATTGTTACATAAAACCTCAAGAGGAGGAAACTTTTCTGCACATCTTCACTGCATGAAAATTTTGCTTTCTTTTCTCTAGAGGTGAAGGACCTAAATATATTTGAGGGTTCAACACCTTGGTGCGGCACAAAAATATATATAGGAACCTTCACCTAAAAAGAAAAGGCAAAAAGACACACATTGAGTTATTTAAATGGACAGTCTATAAAGAAATTGTATAACATTGATGTACAAAACCAAACTTATGAGAAGACAAAAAATAGATAATGAGGAATAGAAAATGAACACACCTCAATTGCTTTCCGTTTCTGATGGCTTCCAGGACTCTTCCCTACTGATTTGTTCTTTGAGCGCCACTCTGGTGCTCTCCACTCTGGTGCTCTCTTAGTAATTAGGGCAGTTAGCTCAACAGTCTTCAGCTTATTCTCATCTTTGACATGATTGTTTATGAAAGCTGCAACATGCCAACAAAATGTAACAATTTAACAAGTGCAAAAGTGGGATAGTTAAAAGACAATAAACTATATTCCAGCATAATAAAAAAGAAAATTCATTATTAGAAAGTAATGAGTTGAGTTAACATTTGTTCTTACCTAACAATGCTGTCAAGACATTGGGAGGAATGCCATAGGATCCTGATTTCTGCCCCTTGGCGGTGACATGCAGCATTTTGAATGTTTCTTCCCCAAACAGCGCAAACAAGGTTTCTCTTGCTAGCAGGGGAGGTTTATTAGCAAAATCTACCTTCAGCTGGTCCCTCTTAGTTTGGGAAATGTAAACACCCTTGGCCGCCTTAGGTTCTAGCTCCACCTGCAAAAGAAATGAAACAAAATTAACCAAAGTGCTCAACAAGGGAGCTGTACAAATAATTTAGTCAAAACATACATACTTTCTTAACGTGCTCAGGGATGTCGAGCAATTCAAGATACTGAACTTCATCGGGTGAGACATCTCCCATCAAATTTAATACCTCTTGAAAGAAGCTGCGGTATTGTGCGCCGCCTGAAAAGAAACACCAATTTAGATTTAAAGATGACCAAGAATAGAATGAACCAAGGCTTAAAATATACACACTAAATTTCTTGATGAAGCGAGCTGCTTCACAGCATTCAGAGCTCTGAGGCTCGACATTCTGGGTCAAAACGTTTGGTTCACTCAACCCCTCATTCTTCTCACTTGGCCGTACATTTTCATCCACTTCTAAATCATCTCCAGTAGGTTCACAAGCCCGAGAACCTGGCATCAAATAAAAAAAGTTAGATTTCACTTCCAAAAGTTTTGCACAAAACAAGCTGCTATATTAAACTCACTACTTGGCTGTGAAGACAGGTTGAGCAGTTGAGAATCCAAGAACCGTTGCCCGTTAAGTTGATGTTGTTGAAGGACACGCTTCTCCTTCTGCTCCACAATGTCTAGATGTTTGAGTTCCTTTGGGGGTGGCACTTTCCCTCCAAGAGCACGAACAATGCTTTGCTCAGATGCACTCCCACTCTTGGGTTTCTGGGCCCTATTTCTCTTTGCCTTATTCTTCTTGGCTTCCTGCTGCTCTGCATAGAGTTGTAGCTCAACCTCTTCAGCCTTCTTTTCTAATGCAGCACCATCAGCTAACAAAAAATAGCAAACAAAGAGACCTGTTAGTGATGTATGAAATTTAACTTTTCTCCAAAGCAAAGTAACACTTCCGACTAAAAATACTTTTTAAAGGTTAAGAAGCAAATGTCCAACATATTTTAAAGGATAAAAACATCCAGAAAAACGGTAAATAAGCACACAAACAAGGTGCCTAAGAAGGTTCAGAGCAGGACAAAGCCTCACATTGTGAAATACAAAAAAATGGAGAAGGGGGGTGAATTTTTGCACGAGGCGAAAGAGAGAAAAGACTTGAACTCAAAATCTACAAATCTTAATGCAGTACTCACCGCTTATCATTAGAATTTTGGCCTTGTATCCCTTGTGTTTTCCCGCGAACAGCACAGTTGTAACTGCCCCAACAAATCGGGACTTTAGAGGCACAGATCTTAATTCCTCAATGCCCGTCTTGTTTTCCTCGATCCATAGCACTAAGGCCTTCAGCCGCTGACTGTTTGAATCCACTTTTGGCTTAGTTTTCATGTTAATTTTGAGAAAAACTGAGGCGGCTACTCTAGGCAACAAGTTGAGACAAGTTGATGCAGAAATCGCAATGGCGTCGTGCGAGAGAGACAGAGAGATAAAGAGAGAAGAACAACAACAACCGAAGTCAGCTAAGACGCTTTTACTCGGTCTCTTCCAACGTCACATAAGATTAAGATACAACTATTGTCTTGCCAGCAGTGAGTAAACAGTTTTAAATTTTAAGGCACAAACTGAACACTTTAAACTCTTCAACTTTGGCAAGAAAAGAAACATTCGATTTACAGCCATGAGTTTGACTAGCTCCAAATCCGAAACATCTGGTGGTGGGGACGGGGAATGCCGTTTTGTGTTCACAACGATTTCTTTAAAATTAAGCAAAATTCCTCACTCACATTTTTTTAAAAAATTCAAACGGAAAATGTTTTGTTGGTTTATTAGTACGAACGTGACTTGGAATGGTGAAAAGAAAGCTATTTTTGAGTTTTCCTGGCAGCCGGCCTCCCATTGGCTGCGTTTCTCCCCTCCACAGCAGTGGATCTTCTTTTGTTTTCCAGTAGACACCAGGCGCATGTTGACATTGTTTGTTTACCGCAGGCGTATTTTGGGAAGTGTTGTAGTTGTAATTCAGTTACTTTTTAATAAATACTGTCGTCAAAGTGGGCTTCCTCAAGTAATCTTGGTCATGCCATCACGCCTAGATCCGATCTTAGCTTGCTTTTAAATGGATGAACAAGGCGCCTTGCTCGGCAGGCGCAGACGCTACCGAAAACGAAGGCGAGATTCTTCTTTTATTAAACAAGTCCGAGTAGATTGTGGCGAATCCAGTAATTCTGTCAACGAGAGCGATTCCTCCGATTCAGGTAAGTTTGTATGTCTGAAGTGTCACAAAATACGATTGTAGGTTATGTTGGTGTGGACTTAGCGTTCACCCAGCCTAGGCCTATTTGTTTCCCCTCTTATTTGAAAATTGAGTCTATGTAGAAGGCAAGTTGCCTGTTGTTATGGGAGCTCTATGAGCTATAAGAACTTAAGCCTTGTTAGCTAGTTTTTGAGGATGTAAATTCAATCATTAAATGTATCTTGTTTCCCACTAGTGACATCAAACCTTCAGAAAAGGTGCAACACTGTAAAGTGTGCAGATTCAGAGGCACAATCTCCTGAAAATGTTCGAATCACTGAGGAAAGTCAAAATTCATCACACCATTTGGATAGAGGGAGTGACAACAACCATGCGGAAGAAAGCAGAAGCCCGTCTCCCCACAACACAAGTGCATTGACGAGAAGGTCAGATGCATCGGAATCCAATGATGGTTCGTATTGTTTCACCTTCCATAGTTGTTTGTTCCAAGCTCTATGCTCTCTTTGAAAGTTAATGTTTTCTTATTGTTTTTGCTTAGATGGTACGGAGGAACAAACCCGTATTGTAGATCAAGAAAGAGACAAAAATTTTCCTGGGAACAACTGTGAAATAGGTAAAGCTAATGCTATTTTCTTTTCTCCTTTTTTATTTGTTGTCTTTCTTATGTGTCTCTTGTATTGTTGGCCGGAACAGGTGACAACTTCAGACATCAAGACATTGATGCCAATGAGCGAGATGTAAACAACAGCAATCATGGTTAGTTATGACAACACTTCGGACATACAGTTTCAAATGTGTTTGTGGCAACTCGTGAAGTGACTTCCAGTCAATTTACAGGAAGAAATACTTTTGTGTATTGTCAAATTCTTCAAAAGAATCTTAATGTGAAAAGAAAATTACAAACCAATCACCTAAACAATTTCTTTAAATTTTAAAAATTGAAAGGATGTGTAGGTGTTAGTGAGGATTGACTCGTTATATTTTTAAAAGTTGAGATGGTTGATGCTCTTAGAATTTTACACTCATGCTAAATGTTTCTTACTTGAGCAGAATTCTTTTAATGGTTACTAACAGTCCTGTTGGTTCTGGAGTCTATGAACTTTTCGAATTATAGTCACTTTGATAGGTTTTTGTTCATTCTTGTCATAGCACTGTTTAGTAAAACTCACTGTTTTTTTTTTTTTTAAGGTGGGCTGGAAGAACGAAACCATTATGAGCATCATGAAAGGGCTGACAATTTTCTGGTGCACAACTGTGAAATTGGTAAGCCAATAGTTTGTTAATTATGCCTATTTTTTTAATGTATTTTTTGTCCTTAATCATTATTTAATGCTGCTGTTGGTCTGACTAGGTGACAACTTACATCAACAAGACACTGATCACCATGAGCAAGCTGGTAACAAGAGCAATGATGGTTAGTTGAAAATACTACTTAAAATACCATTCTTCATCTTCAGCCCCAAGTTCAAAGGCGTTTTGTTACATGGACCTGGACGGGTATTAAACTTTGCTATCGGTTATAATTAAAATTCTCAATTTGAGAGTTTTCCTTGTACATTTAGTATGCGAAACTAATACTTTAATAATTTTAAGTCAAAGGCAAATGTTTTGACACCTATCCTGGTCCATGTCACAAATGATTTATACTTAAGTTTGCTTCAACTTGTGCATGCATGTATTCTTGTGGTTTTTAACTTTCAATTTTCTCTTGGCAGAACACGAAGATTATGAAGAGTTCAGACACGAGCAAAGGAACTCTGCGGATGGCATGGATGAGAGGAGTGAAGAGGGTGAATCGCATGCAGGTGAAGAGAGCGATGATACTGGTTCAGCAGGAAATGAAGGCGACACTGCAGATGAAGCCAGCAATGAGGAAGAGGATAGCAACCATGAAGATGATGGCTCACCTACAGAAGGGGACAACGCTGAGTCTGAAGACGAACAAAATGGAAATGATGAGGAGGAGGGGACGGATAATGAAGATGATGGCTCAGCTACAGATGGTGACAACACTGAGTCAGAAGGCGAACAAAGTGAAAATGGTGATGAAGTTCAAGATGACAATCCAGATGACGAGCCACTTTATAATGGTGCTCGTGTCACTTTTAGAGAAAGTTTATTAACAATTTTAACTTTTATATTAACTCACAAGCTAACTGGTCTGGCACTTGGTGATTTACTTTCCTTGATAGAGTTGCACTGTGGCCCAGATAATTTGTGTGTAAGAACTACTTACATGTTTAAGAAGTATTTTAAAATGATTGGTAAAGATTTTATTAATTGTTGCTATTATTGTTCAGTTTGTCAAGTACCACTTGAAAGAAAGGATTCAATCTGCCCTATTTGTAATGGCCAACATGACATTGCTTATTTCATTGAATTTCCAATTGCTACTCAACTTAAAAAAATGTTTGCAAGGCAAGGGTTTTATGATTTTATACAGTATAGATTCAATCGTACCAAACAGCATGATGATAACATTGAAGATGTTTATGATGGTTCCATTTACCAGGAATGTACAAATAGTGGATTTTTAGCAAACCCAAACAACATAAGCTTTTTTACTTTTTTTGATGGAGTGAGTTTGTTTAAGAAATCGTCCTTTTCTATTTGGCCTCTTTATTTGACAATTAATGAGTTGAAATATTCCCAAAGAACCAGGAAAGAAAATATTATTTTGGCTGGCATTTGGTTTGGAAAGTCAAAGCCCAACCCTAATTTATTTCTTCAACCCATATCTCAATCTTTGCTGAGTTTAGAAAATGACGGAGTTGATGTATCATTACACAACGGGGAAAATATTAATGTTAAAGGGAAGCTGATTGGTGCTGTTGCTGACATGCCTGCCAAATCACTTTTCATGCGTTTAAATCAGTATAATGGTGCCTTTTCTTGTTTCTACTGCATGGCTGAGGGAGCAAGGTTTGATCTAGGAAATAGAAATCACAACACACTTCAGGTTTTTCCTTATTCCAGAGAGATTAACCTCAGGAATCACAATGACGTTGATGACATTGCACGGCAAGCTACTGCTCTACGTGAAATTGATCCTGAGGCAACTGTGTATGGCTGCAAAGGTCCTTCTCTACTTCTAAACATGCTGCCACACAAAATTTTTTCCATTGGTGCTGACATAATGCATGGAGTATTTTTAGGAGCAATGTCAACTCTAATGGGTTTGTGGTTTGATTCTCAGTACTCTGATTGTGATTTTTCTGTATCTAACATGACAGGTATTGTTGACCAAAGGTTGAAATCCATAAAACCTCCAATTTCTTTTCGACAGCCAAAGAGCTTAAAAAAAGAGATGGCTCACATGAAGGCCTCTGATTTTAAAGTGTTTTTTTTTCACTATTCTTTACCAGTACTCTTAGGTGTATTACCTGAGATCTATTGGTTTCATCATTGTAAGCTTGTAGCTGCTATTGCTCTTTTATGCCAAGATAGTACTTCATTGCTTGAGTTAGAAGAGGCTGAAGAGTTATTACATTCATATGTTTCAGATTTTGCAGATTTGTATGGAATTCGTTACTTAACTTTAACTTTTCATCAACTTCTGCATTTCCCATTATTAGTCAGACATCTTGGTCCAATGTTTGTATACTCTTGTTTTTTTTACGAGAGCTTAAACGGACAGTTTGCTAGGCTTGTTCATGGAAGCCGTCATGTGGCCCTCCAAATTGTATCTTCATGCTCCATATTAATGAATTTGCCTGTCATGATTTCTGGCATGGACCAGGGTAGGGCTAAAAATTTGTGTTTAAAATTCCAAGGGAGTTTAAAGAAAAATATAAGAGTTACTGAAAACATAAATGATAGTGCAGGTGTTGTTGGAAAATTGAAGCCCTTGCTTGTGACAGTTCGTATTAGGAGGTTGGTCCAGGATACTTTTAATGTTCTTGGTGGACGCTATTTGTTTTTCCATAGACTTAAAATTAAGAACTTTGTTTATTGTGCAGAGTCTTACCAGCGTTCACAAAAGAACTTGGCCTGTTATGCCTTGATTAATCATGAAAACGCCCCCTACTTGTGCAAAATTAAATTCTTCATAAAGTGGTCTTCATGTCAAGTTATCTGTCCAGTACCCTGTGACAACAACTGCCCCAAAATGTATATTTGCATTGTTAATTTATATGACAGGGTTGGGTGGAAGATACATGATGCTCCCCAGAATATACCCCTCTATTATCTTGATCAAGTAGGTCGTACAAATGAGACAAGGACATTCCTTGTAACGTCGATAAGCTCACCATGTCTTTTCATGAACATTGATGGAAATACTATGTACATGACCACTGATGTAAATAAGCTGGAAGTTGAATAATTTGTCAATGTATAATTGCTAAACTCATTATGTATGCCTACACTCCATTAAATTTTTATTGAGCATAAAGTTACTTCTAATTTTTCATTTTGTGCATAGTTTGATCCTATCCCTGAAACCAGAGCTTTACTTTTGGGAGTAAATATTTCACTGGTACTTTGGAAAAGTCCTACAGGTCCTCTGCTTTGGATTGAAATCGTGTTTTGTGTTCTGGAGGACGATTTAAGGGATTTGTTCTTATGAGTCAATTGCAACGAATCTCGAAAAGACAGACAAAAAATGTCAACATATGTCATAGGTTAAAACAGAAAATGAAAGAGTTATTGGATTTATAGAACGCAAAAATGGTCAAAAAGACATTAGAAGTTGAATAACTCTTTCATTTTCCATTTTAACCTATGTTATGTGAAGACATTTTTTGTTTGTCTTCTTGAGACGAATCTAAATCTCTGAGGTGATGTGTATTCGGTCAAGTTTGAAAATTGACACACCAGGTGCTGCCCTGCGAAAGTCCGCAGAACCGTAAGCCGGCAAAGCGGTCAAAAATCACCCCCCCCCCCCCCCCACCCACCCACCCCCTCCGGTCCGAAAATCGCACCCGCGTAGGTTCGATTCTACTCAAGCCCGATTTTCGACCCGGACGAGAATTGGGACCGCCTTTCCACAGTTCGAAAATCGACGGTTCGAAAATCGAACCCTCTTCTAACAGTGTGGTCTACTTGCTTCATCGGACTCGCCCGATATCTTTCCGAACTGACGGCGTTCGGGGTCCCGGAATGATTCTGGATGCCCCCGGGACACTCGGAAGGCTTTCGGACTGCCCCGGCCCAGTGGACCCCGAACCCGGTACGGCTTCGGTAGTACCCCGACGTCTGCGAGGCCTCAGTTCGGAAGCATTCTGGATGGACCCCGAGCGTTCGGAAGCGATTCGGAACGATTTCGGCCAGATTCTGGATGTTTTCATTTTTAAACGGGTCCATGCTAAATCTCACCGCTGTAGCTCAAAAACTGCGTCCTAGAGGCCTGCAACCGTTTGCAATTTCATGTTCCGAGAAAAACGCGATCAAAGTTAGAGAAACTGGGCTTTTTCCCTATGCATGTTTGCGGCCCACAACGTCCTAAAACTGCAATTTTTTGAATTTCGGAATGCGGTTTTCACCATTCGACGCAGAAAAGAATGGTCTATAATATAAACTAATAAAAAAAGGTTCCAATTTTTTATCATTTTGGAGTGATGTCCCCCCCCTTAAGCGAAATTCGACAAACTCGCAACTTCGGGAGGCGCTAACCTGCTTTGGGCAGGCTGCCTTTCTTGGCAGACCGTGGAAATAGGCGTGATTCCCTCAAAAAGAGCATTTGGTCATCAAAATCTTCACTAATGGGGCTAAACTTTCGGTCGGAGGTCTGAATGGGTTCTATTTTCGTCATCAGCAGCCTCAAAAACATTTAAAACGACATTGAACTTGACAAAAAGTAGTTCCAAAAAAGTTGTCTTTTTCCTGCCGTTTTTAAAGTGTTTTTTGGCTAATATGACCGAATGGATTGAGATAGAAAGCTTAATTTTGGTGTGTGGCGAGCCAAGGATATGCCCAATGACCCTGCAAAATCTCAGAAGAATCGGCCGAGCCGTTTAGGAGGAGTAGTGCGGACACACAGACACACACACACAGACAGACAGACATGAAAAACTTTTCAACCCCACTGGAGTAACAGGCTTCGCTTTCGCTCAGCCAATGAAAATGTTCGTTTAAAAACCCTCTTTTACGTGATGTAAATGAAAAGTAGCCGGACAAAAAATAATAAGTGTTTTCTGCGTTAGAAATCATGCATTTTTAAGGCACCAAAGGAGCGAAAATCATTTGTTTCATGATTGACAACCTGTGTGTTTGCCACAACGTGTCCCTGTGTTGAAATTTTTTCTTATCCTGATTCCTTGGAGTATTGGAAAGAGATGTCATGAAAAAAAATTAAGATTTGAGAGTTGAAAACATGGAATTATGTCCGCCTAAACCAGCTTCGTGGCATACTGTGCCGCGAGTGAAGTTTTGTGAGGATTCCAATTTACCCACCACTTCTGGGTTCCGAGATCTACGGTGTTCAAAAAACCGTTGCATTCCGTTTTCGGCGACAGAGTTTCCACCCGCTGTCTTCCGCTTGCAGTGTGAGGGTCAAGGACAGAGCAACGAATGTCCGCAACCATCCTGGAAGCTGCGGGCCCACTCTCGGCCCACCTGCTGTGGTGGGCCCACGACGTGACGCCCCACGAGCACCGCACGCGGTTCCACAGGCAGGTGGCCTGGCTGCGCTCCTCCACGGTACAGCCGAGAGCGCTAAGCACTACTACACTGTAAATCAAAGAGTGATACGTCTCACTCTGAGGGGTGAGACAAAACTGTCTCACAAAAAGGTCGTAAACAAATGTATCGCAGAAAAATAGTGAGACTTCGTCAGGAAAACAAGGGCCAATCTCGCTGATGTCTCGCCTTTCTTTTCGGTGATACATTTGAGTACGAGTTTTGTTTGTAGTGAAACATGCGTGTACGACCATTTTTCCGGTGAAACATTCGTGTACGGCCTTTTATCGGTGAAACATATTGTATCGCCGAAAATTGTTTGAGATATCTCACCCTTTGAATTGCAGCGAATACACCAAGATGGCGAATTCTCTCATTCAGAAATTCATTGTACTTTCAATTTAGAGTGCAACAATTGTTGTTTTCTGTCATTCATTCTAGGATGCAACACCACGGTGAAACAAATGTGACAAAAGGACACGTTCTGAGCGTAGCGTCATAGTCCTTTGGATGTGCATCAATCACAAATCAGCTTATTGACATTGAAACGAATGTGACACGATGCTCGCAGGAACGTGACATTTTGTCACATGTGTCTCGGCGTGATGGTGATGTTCCTGGAATGAGAGCGTACAAAGTTCCATGGAACCGGCGTGACGAGTGTAATCCTGTTGAGGGGCCCAGGACTCTGGGACTCTGGCGGTCAGACAATTGATATTCCGCGATCTGGGAAAATTTTCTGGTAGTCAGAGGTATTTCTGACTTACGACGTCGTACATTTATGTCCACAGCTAGACGCTTAAATAGAACAAAAATTAAAATTATAAATGTATCAGCATGCTTGTCAGAATTCGGGGGGTCCAAGCTCCCTACAAATTATCGACCCATTAAGAAACCTTATCCTGTAACGAATAGGCATTCTGTAAGGGGTCGTCCATAAAAAACGTAACGCACTGAAGAGGGGGGGTCACAGTTTCCGTTGCGGTGCGTTTCATGGGTGAAGGGGGGGGGGGGATTCGACCCGGCGTGATGTAACGCAAGAGCGACGAAAATCACCTTTACTTAAATGCGTGAAATTGCGGTTGTCTCGAACGTTTTGACAGTTTCTGCGCGTTTTTGACTGTGAAGCAATTCGTTACGTAACGCACCGGGGGAGAGGTCCGAGGCAGCTCGACGCTACGTTTCATGGGGGGCGGGGGGTCTAAATGGCCTCTAAAAGCGTTACGTATTTTATGGACGGCCCCTTACGTCACCTCCCTGAGTTTTCCTGTAAGGGCAATTTTCTATCGGAAGCGTTCCAACAAAGCCCAAAATGCATCAAGACAGGGCTTTTGGTTGTAGTTCAGCATTGCGCTCTCGTTCCTTGTGTTCACCTTCATCTTGTGGGAGCTGGCCTCTGAGCCGGTGCTGTACGGGACGTATGCGCGGTACACCGCTGGAGCCATCTCCTGCATCCAGGCCAAGCTCATCTGGCGCTTCCGCTGGCGGCAGCTCAGAGACTTCTTTTTCCATACCGCTCGTATTGCTGCCACTTTCGAGCAGAGCAGTGACCGTGGGTCGCGGGTGAGTTTCAGGATATATAGCGTTACACTCAGGACTCCTTACGGACACCATGTATCCGCAATACGGACGGTTTTGTACAAGCGTAATTACGGATGGATTTTGTTTGTAATACGGATGATTTTATCCGTAATACAAAGGTTGTCGTGTCCGTAACATACAGACGAAAATACCCGTATGGTACGGACGTAAAACTCTTTGTAATACGGATGATTTCATCCGCATTACAAGCAGAATCTATCCGTAATTGCAATTGCACAAAAATGTCCGTAATGCAGATAGGATGTATCCGTCAGAAGTTTAGTGTGTAAATAAAACAGTTGCGCCGGGAACTTCAGGGGTCGTCCAATAAAAGGGCACTCCTATGAATCTTGAAACGAAAACCCGGCGCGATCAGGGCAATTGACGTCTCCACTCAGGTCGCTTTTCGAAGAAGTTGGATGCAAATTGATATTCCAGAATGGGTCTTTAGATATGGATCGTGTGGGACGCCATAAATGGTATAAATACAAGAAAATCGACGGTTTTTACGCCGTTTTTTTTTTTTAATATCTGCCTCCACCCGGGTCAAAGACCTTTTCTGGAAGCTCTCAAAAAAATTCAGAGCATTTGGACATATATTTTGCATCAAAAGCGAGATAGGGCATCTCGAATTTGATCCTGATTCCAATGTTTTGCTCGTAAAAGTATCATTTTTGACGCTAAGACCCATTTTTGAGGCCTCTGATGGGCAAGAAGGAGGCGGCCCCGGCTGAAACTTGTTTTGGCACCAGTCTTACAGTATCCTAAGGATCACCTTTCTGTGAAAGAATTTAGGATTTTAGACCCATTGCTCCAGCCTACTGCGCATGCGCTAAAGCTGTTGTTCGGGCGTGCTTTTAATAGGGTATTCCGATGGAACTGAACCGGAACCCCGAGCAGTCGAAATATCTGGATCCGGTATGAGAAATCAGGTGTGCGGAGGCCTGAAAGTAAGCAAAATCGGGTGTGCGAATGACCTCCGCATACCTGATTTCTCATACCGGATCCAGATATTTCTACTGCTCGGGGTTCCGGTTCAGATCCATCGGAATACCCTCTCTTTGTCTTCTGGTTCAAGATTCATTGCAGTGATCTTTTACGATACGCACTTTTGGACGCTTTTGA